TTTTGTCTAATCTTTATTGCGACTAATTATTAGTCTAGATTCATCATTAACTCAAAGTCTAATTTCATGATCTATCAATTAAGGAACAACCAGGTAGGATCATATCGGAGGTAGGGTCCGTTTGGTATACGAAGTATACTGTTTGGAAATCCCATTTTAAACACCTCACTAAATCACAGCATAGACGTCACCCCCGTAAATAGATCAATCAGTATAACGACTTGGAATCACTGATAAATCTTGTTTATAGGTTCATAATAACAATAATGAACTTAAACATAGTTATACTTAAGGTAGGGTAAGCATAACTCACTTACAATGGGGTTTTGCTAAAAAACCGGGCTCCGCTGGATCAGAGCTTCTGAGCCGAAAAACTCTTTTTCTTGGAGCCTTCGGGCGCTCCGGGGCTTTCCTCTAGCACCTTGAGGTTACTAGGGCTTTAGACGGGTTTTGGGAGTGTAGAGAGAAGTTAGAGGGAGAAAGAAAGGCTTATGGTGTGAAGAAAATATGAAGAATCCATCCTTTATTTATAGGGCTTTGATCATAGAGTAGGCCCTAAGTTTCGTTCGTATCTTGTGCGTACGAGATTCATTTTCTACGTTCTTTATATCCACGTGCTGGTATTTACGATTACTACAACTTTCATTTAGACCCCGTCGGCTAATTCTCACTCTATCTCCGATTTACAAAACTGTATCGAATTTATCGCGCTCGAAGAGTAGGGACTAAGTTCCGTCCATATCTTTAACATACGAGCTCTATTATCGATGTTATTTATATCCACGCGTTGTTATTTACGATTACTACAAATTTCATTTAGACCCCGTCGGCTACTTCTCATTCTATCTCAGATTTACAAAACTGTATCGAATTCGCCACGCTCGAAGAGTATGGACTAAGTTTCGTCCACATCTTTCGCATACGAGCTCCATTTTCGACTGTCTTTTTATCGTTGAAATCCTATTAACGATATCTTTATTTATCGTTTTGATTATTTTGGCTAAAAATTGACCGATTTAAAATTCGAATTTCGGGCTATGCATTGCTATGCTAAATCTTAGAAAAATCGTAACTTCCTCATACGAAGTCAGATTTGGACGTTCTTTTTATGCACACTCTCGGTTTAACGTATAATACGACTTTTTTTTAGATCGCTAAGGCTAAAAAGTATTTTATCAAAAATTCAGTTTTTACGTTACGCGGTGTCGTGCCGGTTTAGCCGTAAAACTTGAACGAACCATAACTTCTTCGTTATAACTCGGATTTCGGCGTTCATTATATGTACATAACCCTTGTGACATATACTATAGCTTGGTTAATATTATTTACTCTAAATAGTCTTCTATCAAAAAATCGTTTTTGACGCTCATTGTCTCTAAATTGACTAGTCCGAATATGCGGGCGTTACATATGTATCTCACCAGGTTTCCCAATATGACCCACTGAATTAAAATGCATCACAGGTAGCAGTGTTAAGACTGCTAAAGACTTGAATAAGATGTTGATTGATTAAAGAGAAGACATGCAATAGTCTTCAGGACCATAGGTATTTACGTTGTAACTATGTTGTGTATTTATTATGACATCCTCAGAGTTTTGTATCTTGAAACAAGATCTTTATTCAAAGATATTTTTAATAAAATGAAATAGTTTCTGCAAAATGTGTTATTATACTAGGATTTTCTGCAAACAAAGATGTTGTGATTTTTCAAAGCGTAAAGAAAAAAAATTCGGTTCTGGAAAATAGGGGATGTCTCAGTATGAATGGATCATTAAAGATAGAGAATAAGGAGTAGGATTATATGCATTATAATCATAAGTATGGCTATGTTGCATGGTTAGATGAGAAGTGTATTATGATAAATACCTAAGAGAGATTGGATGGAGATAGACTATGATTATAAGTGTTATCATCATGAGAATAAGAATGTATGGATGTAGAGACATTAATGGTATTGTGTAGAATACATATATGTTATTAGATTAAGATAGAGATTAAGCACTTAATGAGTTAACTACTAGATGAGCAGAAAAGATCTCTTGATGAGATAAAAACATAGAATGTCGATGGGACGAGGGTTGATAAAGATTATGAGAATAGTAGAAAGATGATTCCTACATGAATAAGAGTATGATTCCTATGAGAATAAGAGTATGATTTCCATGGAAATAAGAGTATGATTCCTACGGGAATAAAATTATGATTCCTTCGAGAATGTAGATAGATGATTCCCGTGGGAATGAGATTGTGTGTGATTAAAGAATGTAGAAAAAGGTTCCATGAGTTTAACAAGGCAAGATAGTTCTTTGAAAGAGCTTAGATATAATATGTGAGGGATTAAGAGTAAGTAATTCGTAAGGGGTTCAAGAGAAGAAGAATGTCTAAGGATCCACGATGGATTAAAGGAAGGGGATTAAGTTCGAATCAGTGTACTTGGTAATGTTAGTACGAGAAGAGTATGGAACAAGAGAATAAATGGAGTGAGAAGAGTATGAGAGATGTAAAGATAGAGGATGAATAGAAGATGAGAAGATCTTAAGAAGAGAAGAAGATAGAGTATAGAATGAGTTTGAGAAAAGACGAGAAGGCATTAGATGATAAGTGATGAGAAAAGAGTTGAAGAGATAGATGAGATGTGAATAGAGTAGAGTAGAGTATGAGAAAAAAGAATATAATATTAGAATATGTAAAGAAATAAAGACTAGAAGTAAAATATGATAACATCAAAACAGATAGAATATAACTCACCAAACCTGTGGTCTGATGTTGTGGATATTTTCATGTTTTGTAGGTTCGGGTAGCAATCATCGTACTTGAGAAGGTATGAGCACAAGGATTTGGACTAGAAGTATAATTTTATTTTAGTTTTATTTCCCTTGTTTGCTTTATATTATGATTTTATTGTAAACCCAAAAATAACCTGGCATGTAAAGTGTTTTTCAAAGTATAGAATTCTACATTTTTAGTAGAAAACTCTGATGATACCTAGATATTTAGATAAGGAAAATTTGGGTCATGACAATCACCATGATACCTAGATATTTAGATAAGGAAAATTTGGGTCATGACAATCACCATTGTTTCCGGCAACCATCGTTATTTTCGGCCAGCACATTATTTACAGGGCATAAAGCTAAAACAGAACAATATGAATTTAAGAATACCAAATTTAAATTAAAACTCAAAACAAAAACAATACCAATAGGATTAATCGTATGTCTAGTAATAACATTTAGAGTAGTACTACATGGAGCAATATCCGTCCATGGTTTTCAGGTAGTAGTCATTGTACGAAAGGAGATAAGAGCAAAAAGACTTAGACTAGAAGTAGTTTTTTAGTTTGAGTATACCCTTGTTGCTTTAAATTATGGGTATGATTTTATTGTAAACATGATTATAGTTTGTGATGTAAATCATTTTTAAGATATATAATTCCACATTTTATAGAAAAACGTTGATATATCTACAGATGATTTAGATGGAAAAATACAGGTCATTGCATTATAAGTCATAGTCCCAACTCTCCAGAATTCCTAAACCCCCACAACAAAAGATACAAAGATGGGAGAGGATTACCTTTGAGCTTAATCTTCACCGTCATGTTTGTGATCATTCAAAGAAAAATTTTAATATGTAATCTCTGAAGAAAAAAAAAACATCCCTCAGGTAGCTCTCTCCGTTCTCCCTTCATTTTGGGCAAAAATGATCTAAAATGAGTTTTTAAGCCATCTTGAATACCAACAGTTCTCAAGATCTTGGATACCAACAGTTCTCAATACCAACAGTTCTCAATCTCAGATACCAACAGTTCTCAAAATCGTCCATGAAGATTTACCAATAGTACCAAGCAAGCTTCCTAACTCAAATTGTCCACCAAGGTGGAAATAAATGTCAAAGACATTTTTTTTTCTCATTTGACTATTTGCTCTCACTTATGATATTGTCTTATCCATAAGTTTTTTTCACTACAACTCCAATTTTGGTTTTTCAAAATGTTATAAAAAAAGAAATGGTTCTCTAAATATCACCGTTTTTCATGATATTTTATCAAAATTTTAGTGTTTTAACGGCCCTACATCTTCTTATTTCTTGGTTTAATCCAACATTTATTTAGGCATTATACTTTATCAAGTATTGAACTCCATAAACTTCAAGTGTATTAACTTGCAAATTCTACAAACCATTTCATAATAGTTCCCAAAATTCATTACATAATTCGATATATCTATATGTTCTATATCAACCATGATACACATATTACACATCACCTATACTTACTATAATCACTTGTATTTTTGACTACAAGTCTTGTAGAAACTTGGGTGTTACAATTTCAACCTAAACTTGCCAAGCAACCGACCACCAGTAACTCTGTCGATGAGAACCCCCCCTTTAATGGAGACGGGTGTAATGAATCGAATGAACACAAACAAGGGATTTTTTATGTTCGTTCTTTAAAGTTTAACCAAACAAATGAACAAATATAATCATATAGACGAACAAATTTTTTTATTTGTGTTTTTTCATTAAAAAATCACTTTGTTCATTTTTGTTCATATTTGTTCGTTAAGATGCTAAATGAACATAACAAACTTCCAAATATAAGAATCCAAATAACAAACCATATGTATAAATAAAAACATTATAAGGAAATTTTGTCTGAAAATAAGAAATAATTCAAAAAACATTCTAAATATCAACATCTTTATCCAAATATCAAACACAAATTGCAAACATAAAAATGTTCACTTTCACCCTTCAGTCTTGTTACACTATATATCTCATAAAATGTAATAACATATGAAAAGAAAAACATGACAATCGAACGAATATAAATGAACACCTAGCATAAATGAATGAGACAGCCGTTCGTATTGTTTAACTAAAGAAACAAAATATCATGTTGATGCTCTTTCATAAACTGAATAAACAAACTTCTAACGACACTTTTTGCCGATTGTTCGATTCAACATACATTAAACCCTTCTCTCCTCCAATGTCATAAGATGTTTAAAGGGGACGAAGAAGATCCATGACCCCATTTGCTAAAATTCCCTAAACTCTCCCAAATCAGTCTAATGACTACAAAATCCCAAATACATTGCACACGTAAATTAGAGGGAAATAAACAAATGTGCTAAAAGCTTCGAAAAATAAAGTAGAAATCAAATATACTCTCTTCATCAGGAGCGAGATTTTCAAGAACTCTTGCCTTCAAATCTCAAAACGAAAGAACAGAAACAATCGCTCTTCTCCTGCATAAATTCTCTTCATTGGGTTTATAATAATAATAATAACAATAATAATAATAATAATAATATTTCCTTAATCGTTCCTCATCATACATACAAAAGAGAACGAAATAAAACTCCCACCACTAAAAAACTCTTCATCAAAACCAACGACTTTACCATAAACCCTCTTAAAACCCCATTACCCAAAAATTGTGATCATCAAATCAACCTCAAAAACCCTACAATAAATGCATCCTCTCAACATACGACTGAACCAACCACTTACTAAGCGGTTCCCCACACCCCACAAAACACCCCGAATTCCCATTCTCCATAAAAAACGGAAACCGAAACAAATTAAGCAATTCCCTAACCGATTCCCTAACCATCGAACTCCCCGTCACCCGACTCCTCCGGCCCCACCCCGTCACAATATCAATCCTACTTGGACAAACCCCCGATGACATCATCTCCCTCCTAAACCACGCCAATGTACGCGATAACGCCGTGACAGCTGTCCCATCCGACATCACATGAAGATTTATAAGCCAATAACACGCGCTCTTCTCCCTAACCGCGTCCGGATACACATTCTTCCGCGCCGCCACTTCCCAAACGGACCCCGCCTCCTCCTTCAACCCCGACTTATGTAAAAAGTCAACCACCGCGTCCACAAGTCCGCGTTTACTTTCCCTATCCTCACTATGCATAAGATCCAAAAACTTTGTCACGTGATCCCTCACATTTTGCCCGTCGGGCCCCGCGGACGGCATTGACCGAAGAAAACGGTCCGCAGGGTGGCCCGTGAGACACATCACCTCGTGAAAAAACCGCATGTCAACCGCCGTTTGAGCCTCCGTACAACAACTAAGAAGTAAAGTGTACGTCTGTAAAGACGGATTTAGCCCTAGACTACGCATACTTTGAACTAAACTATACGCATCCGAAAGCCTATGCACCCGAAGAAACGCGCTTAACAAAGAATTACAAGTGGGAACATTCGGAAGTAACCCCGCGTCTAACATCGCTCGATACCACCCCCACGCTTTTTCGACATTTCCCGATTTACCCCACAAGTCAACAAGAAGCCCGTACACGGGCTCATCCGGGACCCAGTTTTTTCGGGTCATTTCCGTAAATACGGCTTCCACTTCTTCAAGATACCCGCAATGTCCAAGAACCTCCATTACTATACTATATGTCACGTTATCGGGCTCGAATCCGGCGTTTTGCATGTCTCGATACACCTTCAAAGCAATCGGGTAGTTTCTTGCTTTTGCTTGTAACGCAATCATGATATTATACGTCACTAAATTCGGGACACAACCTTGACTAACCATTTCACAAAATAATTTCAACGCTGCGTCTAAATGACCCGCTTTTCCCAAACAATTTATGATTACACTGAAAGTGAATGTATCGGGTGAAAGTCCGGCTTCTTGCATTCTTTGATACATACCCATGGCAATATCAAGATACCCCGCTTTCGCATGGATGTCAATTAGGGTACAATATGTAACCCTATCGGGTTTCACCCCTTCTTTTTGCATTTGATCGAAAATCTCGAGTGATTTTTTTAGAAAATTTGCACGCCCATAGCTATGGATTAAACGATTGTATGTGACAACATTTGGGGGGTATCCATCTCGAACCATTTGATCAAGTAATTTATCGATTGACCCGAATTGTTTGGCCCGACCCAAGATCCCAACCATGGTTGTGTAAGTGTGACCATCGTGGTTAAACCCGGGTTGAGTTTTTAACCAGTAGAAAAAGTTAAGAGCTATTGAATGATCTTGAAGCTGTTTGAGTACTTGATTCGCTTGGTATACATCTAATGACCCGTTTAGATTCCATAACGCTTGTTCAACTCCCGGGCCCCACTTTGATTGTCTCAATATCTGACAAACTGTTTCCACCATATGACCGGAACCGGAAAACTGTCGACCCGGTTGTGAAACGGGTTTTGTTGATATTCCTCGTGTTACCATGAACTGGTTTACACAATCTTTTGATCTTTTCGTGTTCTGGTTTTGAAAGTTGGGGGCAGTTTTACCCGATGGTTTGCCTTTCTCGACACTTGTGGAGTTTTTTTGAGAAGATGTTTGTGGTTCAATCTTTTTGTACACTTTAACATTCGATGATTTATCACTCGAAGTTGTTTTTTCAGGAATAACTTTTTTGTAAGGTTTGACATTTGGAATAGGTCGGCCATGGTCAACCACATAATTTTGACTTGACCCTTCGGTCATGGGAATCTTGTAGTTGACCACATCGTTTAGAAAGTTGACTGCTGCGATCCCTGCCCGAACAAAGTGCCCGGTTGTAAGACCAGATGGCTGGATTGAGGTGTCAATTTCATCAGCATATGTTACACAATCGGGTTTGGACTTTGGTGTATGGTCAACTATGTTGGTATTGGGTTGAATAGAAGATTTGGGCACAAAGGTGGATGATGTTGTTTGTGGATTTCGGGTTCTGTTTGTGTTAGGGATTTGCCTTTTGGAAGTGCAAGCTTCATCTTCTGGACATGTGCATGAACTTCCATCTGCACTACATCTTGTTCCACTGAAGAAGAAAGATCTAGCTGATTGGGAAAGAACACCTAGTTGTTTTGTGCGCAACATTGTCTGCATAAATTGTATGAACAATTTAGGTTATACACTAAGATTTGTAAAGATCGCCATTTAGGCATTTACTACCATAAAAAGACCTAATTTTGAAACTGAAACTCCCAATTGAAGATTGACCTCCATGATCGTTTTAATTTATTAAACTCCCAATGATCGAAAGATACTTGCAATCCTTTCACCCTGAATTATTTCGATTTTGGTTCAAAAATGAGCCCAAAATTCGGATACGAATTGTGTCGGCTGTGAGGGAGCAATCAACAAGATATTCGAATGATCGAATTCAGGGCAAATTTAGCTCTGAAGATTTATTCATATTACACCAAACAATTTAAAGAAGAACCCTTTTCTTCAAAAGATCAGCATGGAACATAATACAGATTTAGGAAACATTTAACAAAAAGAAAAACCCTAATCAGGATCAATAAGGTAGCCCCATTTGACCAAGGAGTCAACATTTCAATGGCGAATGAAACCACATGAGAAAAGAAAAGACTGATGCAATCAAATATGAAAGAAGATTGATTAGCTCATTACCTGAGAAGATGGGAAGGGAGGAAGATGAGAGAAACGATGTGGCGGCTACTTCTCCATACGAGCAGTCAAGGCATGCGTTAATTTTGCAGGCCAAACAAATGGAAGGGGTTTTGTGTGAGATTTTTCTATTTATGTTAGTTGGGAGTGAATTGGTGGTATGTTTGTAAACCCTATATTGTGATTATTTTTTCTGTTGATTTTGGTATCCACGTGTTCCCACCTTCACGGATTTCTTCTCACTCCTACAATGCTTTTAGCAAACCCCTCTCTCATTTTCCTTTTACCTTTTCTTTTCTACTTTTTATTATATATTTTGTTCCATTAAATTGAAATCTAACTTTATTTATCAGTGATATTCTTCCAAATTTATATAATGTTGGAAGTAATAATAATTTTTACTTTTTTTTAAGTAAATAATCATCAATTTCAAAGTTTTACATTTTTCAAATTTCAAAATTTAATTTTTTTTACTGTAAAAGTAGTTTGAAATATCGAACTACATTCTATTTCTTTAGAAAAATTAAAAATTATGTTGAAATTCTTATCCACTTGGAATATCCATATGTAGGTCGAAATTCCAACTTGTTTATTATTTTTGAACTTGTTCTTCGTGTTTTTGGACTGAATTTTGAACATGTTCTTCATATTTTTGGATTGAGTTTCTAACTTGTTTTCCGTTTTAAAAAATCAATTTTCTTCATTAAAAATGACGATTTGGGGAAAAAATAAGAAGAATTATGATGAGAAATAATAGACAAAAAGATGAGAGGGGGAAAATTAGTTTGAAAATCGAAAAGTAGTTCAAAAATCTATATTTTTAAAATAGATGGTCATTTACAAAAAATTAAAAAATATGGTTATTGGCTTCTAACATTTATAAAAAAATACGGTCATTGGGGTGAATGTCTTTTATTATTAGGGTTCATTAAAAAGATGCAACATTTTTTAGTCTAAAACAAATTTAAAAAAAAAAACTTTAACGGAAAAAACCATCAAGAATGGAATATTTTTTCGGTTTGACAAATTAGTCGGTTTTCAAGTTGACTCAAGTTTAGTTTAGTTTTTTTTTCACATTTTACCCAACATTCTTTTTTCCCTTAAAAGACATAATATTTTGGTATTTTTTCTGTTCAAACCTAGTTGCTGTTATATGCTATTTTATAATGATTTTATGATGAATTTGCAGTGATCACGATGGTTATAAACTTATGATGTTTTGATGCTTTAATGCTTTAATGGTGAGTGTATGGTGACTGTTTTATGTTTTATGATGTTTTGCATGTTTAGATGATAAATTTAAGTGTTATGAAATTGCATGTTAAATATTGTTAAAGATGTTAAATTAATTATGTACATATTACATCTCGTTATCTTTTTTTTTTGTGGTTTTTGGTTTCATAGTTGCAGTCTTCCGAAGTCAGGATATCAAAGCTGGAAAATTTCAGCTTTTCAGCTTTTATTTTTTGTTTTTTGTATTTTGTGGAAATTTGTAAAGATGGATACTCATTTGTTTGAAGTCGGATTGACATGCAGTTTTTCTCCGCGTGTAGTTTAAGATTTGTACTTGATTTTTAGACTATAATTTTGACGTTTTTTGTTTCATATTCAATGACTTACAGTCTTCCGAAATCCAGATATCAAATATGAAAAATGATAATGTCATTAATCAACTTGATTCAAAATTCAAACAAAGGGTATAAGTAATCACAATTATTTTTTATCTAAAACAAACAATCAATCAAGAAAATGTATTTTTAATCTACAATGAACAATCAAACCCAAAAATGTATTTGTTTTAAGCCTCGTAATAGATAAACAAATTTTAGCATAAGAAAACTAACTTTCGGTTTGCTTCAATGACTTGTACCATAGGCACCTAATCTTGTACCGGTCTAATAGGTACAAGAACCAGGAAACCCAGAATCGAACCTGCACCCACTAAGCCTCCACGGGTCTTGTGTGGATGGAAACTTGATCCCAATCCTCTCCATCTTTCGCCACTTGCTTTCTTTCAGTTTGTCGTTTTTCATGGCCTTTAAATTTTTTGAATGCCTCAAACTCTTCTATTGAAGCTTTTTTTTAATTTCGTGATGCGCTCATCTTTGTGGTTGATGGGCATATCATTCTTGTCTTTCACCACTATGGTGATCCTGGTGTTTCCCCAGGTCCCTCCAGAGTTTGCATCCTCATGACTAGGCTTGCATTAACAACAATATTATTGTCGGTAGCCATTTGTTGCGGAGTCCCACGGATGTCGCTACTTGATGTGTACCAGGTTTTCGGCTAAAAGACGTGTTTAGCGTGGGGCTCGATTCTCTCTTAATAGCACCGAACGACGATCTTGATAATACACACAAAGAACGCCAATCGCTTACTGGGAGAGTCAACTTCCAGAAAACGTTCTAACGATCTAACTAATATCGAATTTCGATGAATGCATATATGTGTATAAATCACAAGTGTGAATGGAAACTCAATCTCAATCCTCTTTGCCTTTTGTCACTTGCTTTCTTTCATCTTGTCGTTTTTTATCGCCTTTAAATTTTTTGAATGCCTCAAACTATTTTATTGAAGCTTATTCTAAGTTCGTGACTCACTCATCTTTGTGGTTGATGGGCATATCATTTTTGTCCTTCACCACTATGGTGATTTGTGGTGTTTCTCTAAGTCTATCCAGAGTTTACATCCTCATGATTGGGCTTGCATCAACAACAGGATTATTGTTGGTAGGCATTTGTTGTGGAGTCCCACAAATGGTGCCACTTGATGCCTTTCAGGTTTTCAGCTAAGGAGACATGTTTAGCGTGGGGCTTGATTATCTCCTAACAACACCGATTGACGATCGCGACAACACACACAAAGAACGTCAGTCGCTTATTGGGAGAGTCGACTTCCAGAAAATGCTCCGACCATCTAATTAATATCGACTTCGATGGATGCGTATATACATATAAGAATAATTTTAACAGTATATGATTACTTACCTTTGTCTGTGGTTTCTCCACTCTATTTATCCTGGTCACGACTTCTCGGGAATATACGCTTTCTTATGTCAAGTAGGTGAGGATTTTGCAGCATTAAATATTTGTAACATCGTGTTTTTCAGGTATTTCCATTTATGCCCTTGGTATATAATTTTTTTGTAATTTGGCCCCTTGTAGTTTTTTTGGATAAAACATGTTTCATCACGTACGCTGGGCGTATTCCTCGTACGTTGGGCATACGCGGCCTGGACCAAAACCCTAATATTTAGGGTTTGTGCACTATTTAAACACCCTTATAGCCCCAAAATCCTTTCTCTAATCAGCCTCCACCCCTTATATCGACCCTTGCAAACCCTAATCCATTTTCAGAGTATATTTGAGCCTTGAGTGTATATTTTGGTGATCTTGAAGGAGGAAGAAGGAAGAGGGGACCATCTTAGAAGAGTGAAGCACTTTGGATCCAGAAACACATCATCATTTTGCACCACTTGGAGGTAAAAAGCTCTGATCTTGATGAAGTTTTGCTTAGATCTTGATTAGCCATGGATTGTGTTCATTTTGGTCCCATAAACTTGATGTATTTGAGTATGGGTTACTCTAATTCATTTGAGTTGTCCTTTCTGATGTTTTGGAATGTTTAGATTCATAAAAATGTAATCTTGGTCCTTAGTTTTCCTCCATGCATGAACTATGATGTCTTAATGAGTTAAGAAGCTAGAGTTTTTGATATTGAGCACTTAATAGCCATGTAAGATCATAAAGTTGGAAACATTATGATTAAGGACATCGTTTGAGGTATGGATCTGGTTTTGGAAAAGATAGCTTAAGGGTTTAAGCTCTTAATAGAAGGATAAGGTGGAAGGTACGTACATTGGGCGTATGTTAAAGTACGTTGCGTGTACGCTGGCAGCTCCCCGATTTTGGTTAAGCCTTGTGTACGCTAAGCGTACCAGCTGAGTACGCTGGGTGTACTTAGCTGAGTCAACTCGGCTGACTTTTTGACTTTCGATTTTACTAGATTTTTGACCAAGTTTGACCTAGAGGTATTTTGGGTATTTTGAATTATAATTGAGTTTGGTCATTTATCATTGAATAGGTTTCCGGTAGAGCTGATATTCAGAGCAGTGTCATGTCCAACTATTCCGTCTGTCTGTGAGGTGAGTCTCCTCACTGTATGCATGGCTCAAAGGCACCAATGTAGGCCCATTATCTTGTTATGTAGAATGTTAGTTGTTATGTGAATCTTATATCGGGTTGAAATAAACCCTAGGGCGGGCCCCACTATGGCATGTTCGAGTTGAAATAAAATCTATTTCGGGGCCCACTATCGTATGATCGGGTTGAAATAAACCCCAGGACGGGGCCCCAAGGTTGGGCCTATATTTGTTTATTGGGTTGGAATATACCCCATGGCTAGGCCCGATTTATATGTTTGGTATATGGTATTTTGGGGAAACTCACTAAACTTTATGCTTACAGTTTATGTTTATGATTTCAAATACTTTCGGTACAAAAGGGAAGAGCCCGGCGTGATGTGTAACGACCCAAAAATCAAGGGTAAAAATTTCCTTTTTAATATGGCTAGAACATTGATACCATTTATTTCAAACATTCCAAATCGTCATTAAGTAATATAATTACCAAAGTTCGTCCCAAAACCATTCATTGCGGAAAACATAGGTGTGTGCACTACGATCAATCTGAGCCCTCCATTTCCAAATCGATGCAACCTGAAACCAAAACTGTAAACCGTAAGCACAAAGCTTAGTGAGTCCCCCAGAGCATACCCCACACATAATCCACATAACACATATCGTATTAGCTGTAAAAAGCTATCTCTACCGTCATCACATATCAATCAGCTATAAAAGCTACTCTACCACGTATCACATATCAAATAGCTATAAAAGCTCTCTCTACCATTAGCATATATCAATTAGCTATACAAGCTATCTCAACCGTTAGCCACAAAGGCTATCTCTACCATTAGTCACAAGGCTATCTCTACCATCAGCCATAAGGCTGTCTCTACCATTAGCTACAAGGCTATCTCTACCATCAGCCATAAAGGCTGTCTCTACCATTTGCCACAAAGGTTATCTCTACCGCATATCACGCATACATACATATCACAAACCTCTACATAGCAAGTATACCAACTATCATAAAATGGGTCGGCCTTGGTGCCTTAGACCCATTGGTATGGTGAGAAGACTCACCTCTCGACTGCTGAACTGATAAGCTGAAATCAGACATATCTGACACGCTGCTCCTTCTCAACTGCCCATA